GAGTGTTTTTTTTGTTTAGCCAGTACCAGAAACAGCAGAAAGTCTTAACACGCTTTCAAAGAAATTTAACAGCTGAATAATCAGAATCACAAGTAACTGCATGTATAATGCTAACCTCTATGTGCTAAGAGGGGAATGACGGAAGCGGCGTGACACCACACAGCACAGCATGCCAGAGGGAAGGAAGCCTTATAATAATGAGCAGGTTTAATCATGATATGAAAAAAATATGTAGGAAGCAAAGCACCAGTCTTTAACTTGCTGTTCTGTGAATGGTGGGTGGTGTCTGGTTTGGTCGATGAGATGAAAAGTGCTTAACTGACCTTCACCAACAGCCCCGGCCCGCATCCCACAGGAGCAGTACCTCGGCCCTGAGTGCATGCCCCACCAATGCCCACACTGGCGGTCCTGGCAGCAGAGTTACAGACTGACTGCGTTACATTTTCAAATCTATTCATACCAAATATACATGTTACCATAACTTTTATAATTAACTTAAATATTATGTAAATAATATTTTTCCAAAAAACTAAAATAAATGCCTTGGGAATAAGTCTCAACAAAGGTGAGTCACCAAAAAATAATATGCAATTAGTTGCGGTATAATTCTACCAAATTGGAAAAAATGTGAAAAACCTGGGAAAGCTCTGCACTACATATAATGTCTCCTTAAGGTAACACAGAAAGCGTATGATTCTTTTAAGATTTTTTTACCATCGGGCATGTGTGCTCGCAGGAGAGAGACAGACAGAGACAAAGAAAGGAAAAGTGAGAAATTACTCTCCAGGGAGGATGGCCACACCACAATCCCTTCTCCTCTATTACCCTCTTAGGATTTAGCATGCACGCACACACACGCCTGGTGTGATTTTCAATCAGCCAGATCCATACTCTAACCACGGTAGACCACGTGGAAGTCCAGTATCTTAACCACCATGCCACCTGTTGGCCTCAATTAAAAAATAAAATTAAAAAAAATAAGGGCCAGTGGGTGGCATGGTGGTTAAGGGTGCTGGACTCCCACATGGCTGACCACAGTTCAAATCCTGAACCTGGAGGCTTGCTTTCTCACTTTCTCTCTCTCTCTTTCTGTCTGATCAAATGAAAATAAATAAATAAATAAATAAATAAATAAATAAATAAATACAGTTAAATAAAATAATTCTTTATAAACAAAGATTTAGGAGTTAGAATATTTACGTTTCTTAACTGTTTGTTTAAAAAAAAAATCCCCTAATATTTAAATGGTAACATAAACATAATATTTTTATTTTAGCAATTTATTCAGTAATTTATGCTGTATGTAGCTCTGATTTCATGCAACATAAAGCATGATCACTTTAAAACTATACAAATACTAAG